AAAGGCACTGAAACACAGGATGTTTTTGTCTAAATTAAAACTGCTGCTTTAATTTCCACAGACAGTAGGACAAGAAGATGACCAAACGTGGTAAAAACACATGGTAATGTACTAAAATACACTGCACAGGAAATAAACAAAAATACTGTGAAGGTGCACTGCTTAGCAGGATTTGTGATATGCTAGACAAATCACACTGGTACGTTTGTTCTAAATGTAGCCTTACCACATATGGGCATGTGAAATATGCAGAATAGGAGGTTAAGGGGCTATAGCATATGTAAAAAAAAAAAAAAAAAAAAAAATTACAGTGACTAATCTTAACTATCTCTTCAAAGAAAAAAAAAAACTAGAGAAAATACACCACATGGTTTAATACTAGTAATCAGGAAGCTACAGCTCCACAGACACAATAATGAAATTATAATGCATTCACCATTTGCCAAAGAAAAAAGTGAATAAAAAATACCTGTTGAACTGTTTACAAATTACCATAGTTCGCAATCCAGGTTGCTCATGGGAGATTTTAACAATGTAGATTTGTACTGAATAATGAAAACAGTCATACATCACTGGAAGCGGCTCCCTGTTGCCTGAGAGGGAATTTTGTGATCCAGCAAGTAAAAGACTTCAGTCTCATGAGAAACTCTTTAGGAATTTGTACTTTTTTATAGAAACTCTAAGATTAAGGAAACGTAATGGAGGTGATCATCACTGATAGCTTGACCTCAGCAGAAAAGCAAGAAATAAGTTCAGAGTGGGCAAGAACAGCAGGCTTAATGAARTTATTAATTAAGAAATTAATGACTTAATTTCTTAAGTCATGAGGACTTAAGAAATCTGGAAACTAATATGCCAACAATAAAGGTAACTTTTACTTTCATGGGATGAGTAAAGGCTCTCTTTCTATCCTATGCTTACTAAACATCTGCAGACAAATTTGTAAATACCAGATACTCACTGAAGACTCTCTMAAAGATTGATAAGCTTATTCCAAAATAATTGAACATTTTCAGAAGTCACCAACGCTCTTGCTTTGACTCTTTGCCTCATCTCATGCTTTCTAGCAATGAGAAGCAACTGATTTTAGCATTGCATAATTCCCAAGTAGGTACAGAAAACAGTATCKACTAAAAATGGAATAAGACAAATCTGTACTGGAAAGGAAAAAAAAAAGTGGATAGGCCAGTGCTTCAAAATGAGAAAGATACACACAGATACAAAAGATACAAACAAAACATAAGCAAGTCCAAAAGGAACGGGTGCATGGTTGGAGAACGAGTTACATCAACTGGCGTTGATGTACTCAGGAGATGAGCTGACCCCATCTCCTTCCCTATTTTCTGAGAACTTACTGGCTGAGTCCTCAGAAAGCAACTCCAAACTTAATCCACTTYGGAAAGAGATACAGATGATAGTCACAGTGGTTCAAATATGGTATAGTCTTCCAGGTTTATGAGGCATTTTAGTGTTATGGCTACTCAAATAGTCTACTCTTTATAGACAACAAAAGGAGCTGAGCAGTAGGAAACCTCTCAGTACTCAGTTCCAGACAAGCCTCCAAGCCTTCCTCTCCCACTTCAACTGCATGGGCTATTTGGTCAGACTGGGAGGAGTCAGAAGGAGGATGAATGGGCGTATCATCAATCTTAAGAGAATCTGGGTAAAATATAGCAACTCTCACAAATCTGTAAAGTGTTAAACATGCCATAAAAGTGAAAGGAAATATTTAGGAGACTAGCTAAATGAAATAGGAGGAAGTTTAAGAAACAAAGAAAAGAGACAGATTTTTTTTAATGAACATTAGGGAAAACTCTCTGACACTGAATTACTTTAAGCTGATGAGTAACATGACTAGTCGAAACTACAAAGCTTTGCATGACTACAAAGCATCATTATTCGGGATACATTAATCTACCCATAATACTAGAAAATGCTTACTAGAGAACAGATTTGCAATGACAGGAAAATAGACTGCATAATATAATTTGTCTTTTCTATCTACAACATTTCACATATTTTGTGATGTGGCTTAGCAATCCTGGAGCAGTATGAGGTAATTCTGAAACAGCAATCAGTCATTTACATAATTAGTGTAAAAGTATTTAATTATATGATTAGCGTAAAGATGTGTAATACTTTAATGGTGTAATTAGAATGTGTAATAACTACATGTAATTACATAATTAGGTGTAATGGCATAAAACTTCTCCTAAAAAAGTGAATATATAAAACCTGGCTATAGAAGCTGGTATAGTGCACAATAATGCATTGGTATAAGAAGGACAGCTGACATTTTCTTGTCACCTGTGTTAAGGATAGCTCAAAAGCAGTGAACTCTAGAAGTTTGTCAAGAGTGCTAAAGCAGAAAAAGAATGTGGTATAGCTTCAGCATAGAGGTAATTCAGTCATGACCTACAGAGAGTAAAAACTTGATTTCCATCCTTAATTATCTGTTATTTATTTACAACTCTTCATATAGTTACCTGATTAGTATGAGTTCAGAACAGTATAATTGAAGTATTCAAATACCTGCATTTTACAATATTTTATAAAGACTCCTATAAGTACCATATTACTTTTCTTTTAATTCTTTTTAGCACATCTGAATTTACATTTATTCCCTGTCTTTCAAATACCTGGTAGTTGGTAATTCCATATGCCTTTTCATTAACCAAAGTAAGGAACACAATCCTTTTCCTATCGCATGGTAGTATTGTCATGCCCACTCAATTACCAAGCCGTACACAACTCAGAGATAACAAATTAGCTGTAACTGTCTAGCACATTTAATAATTACTGTTCTTGTTACTTGCAGCAATATCTATAACCAAGCAATTTAACTGCTGCTTAAGATACTATATGTATTGTAAGTGTAAAAWTTTGTTGACACCCAAGAATATTAACCTTTAAATATCTCAAGTGTTTTGATCTGCAGAGTAGATGATGGAGTCCTAGCTGAAACTTGTAAACACTTATCTGTGGAAGCATTTCTAGTGAAAATAGGTAGGATCACTTAATAGGATGATTCATTTACTAGTATGAAGCCTCTCATGGAGAGTACCAAAAGACAGGCTATAGGCAGCCGTCTTGCTTTACAGTAATGCTTTACTGTAATGCTTTACAGTAATGCTTTACTGACACTAGAAGAATTCTTCAGCTAGTTTAATATACTCAAAACTTACACTTTGTGGAGCTCTGACTATCCATTTTTAGCAAAGGAGCAAATTAGTCTCATATAATATGTAACCTAAACAACGATTTTAATAATGATTTTTCTGCAATTTTGTATCATCCAAAAAAGAGATGGGATAAGCCTTAAAGACCTGGATGTGATTCATGGCAGAATTCCAAATTGCATTTCAATTTCCCTTAATAAATGAAGTGCATAAAAATCATCAACAACTTTTACATAAAACTTTAACAGAAGTTCATCTTTTTGCATCATGAAGTTCCTGAATCCGGTTTTGTGACTGAGTGCAGTGTAGAAATTCTGTAAGGTAGACATATAGGCATGCAAAACGTCTCAAATCAGACTTTACCCTATGATATATCTCTAGAATTTTGTACACTTTGTCGGATGCTTCAGTTTGTTTGCCTGCTGTAAATCTGGGAACTCACTGAAGCTATGTGAAAAAATTCCTAGCCTGTCTTTGTGGTTAATGATCCACATTTGCTTTTCCCTGCTTCCCCATACATCTACAATGGGAACATAGAAAAATAAATTATATCTTTGTTTGCTAAACGGTACATAATTTATTTAGCATTCAACTTGCAACACAGTCTAGGTTCTCCTGCTATACTTATTAGGTCTCTTTGAACTTGCTCTAATTTGAAATCATCCTCTTTGAATGCGGACGGCAACAAAATTTTAGGTATTTTTAATGTTGCATCTGGCATAATAGTACAAATATTTTTCCTTTTCTCCATGAGGTACCTGACATATCTTGTGACTACCTTTGTCTTTTCCACAACTCCACCATATAAGCAATCAAAAATTACTCTTGGATAAACTAAAACAGAGAGGCCTTTTCCCCCCATATTCTTTTGAACTCAGGAAACACTTTCTTTGGTCATTAACTTTTAAATTCTGATACTTCGCACTTTGTTCTATGGCATTTTATTCTATAATTCTGGTTCCAGTCTTTTATATGTACGCCTTTGTATTTACATTATCTTCTAACTGTGGGAATCAGATCTTTACAACTCATTCATAATCCAAGTTATTAGCAAAACCACTCAAGATTTCTCCTGGGAGTCCACCTTCCATATGGCCTTTTTTATCCTYACATGAGGCCAGTTCCCTCACATGCTCAACAGCATGTAACAAAACGGACAAATGTTTCCTCAACTCTGACAAACAATGCTGAATAAGAACCAGCATCAAACCAAAAGAACTTATTTTACTTCCATATATAGGGTAGGTACCCAATGGTATTCGCAGACAGAATGCATTTTGAATAAGGTAGGTTTACATAAGTCAAATGGCCTACAACAGTCTTTTTTGAGGTACTAGGTAAATAAATGAAACCAAACCAAAACATATCAGGCTCAGGAACTTCTCTGAGCAGAAAACAGCAGGAGATTGGAGAAAGCTCAGCAAGGTCTGTTCTTGCTGTCATCTGCTATCACTACTGTTAAGGACAGGATGCTTAGCTAGATAAATCCTTGGTCTTCTTATGTCGCTTTCTCACTTTTTATGTCACTTTTTATGTTATTTTCTACAGTATTTGCACCTTTTTGTCTGTACTCTAGCTAATCATTTTGCATACCAAATGCTCCCATAATGGCATCATATTAGAAAATCATATCAATTTAACACCTGATAAACTTGGTATCTTGAATTTTTTTCATCTAAAAAAGAAAACATGGCTATTTTAAGCATTATCTACTGGAGAATACAAAAATATTTCTATGCATTATGTGGTTGTTTCTATAGAAGAAAASAAATATATATACATATATTTTTAAAAGAGCTGTACAATCATTGTGATACTCACTGTGTTGGCAATTTCTTCCCATGAATTCACCTGGACATTCACAGGAATAGTTGGCAACAAGGTCTGTACAAATTCCACCATTCTTGCAAGGTTCAGCTTCACATTCGTTTACATCTGCAGGAAGTACACAGCATCAGGATTAGCAAACAGGCATTCTGAAAGTAATAAGGACATGTTTTAAAACACTTTAACACGAAGTATTTATATGCCTGACATTTAAAAAAAAAAAAAAATGTTTTGTAGGCCATAAAACATTTTCAAATGTGATTAACCAGAGTATGTTTGAGAAAAAAAAAAATGCCATAGAAATGTAGCTAGTTTCAAATACATACTCAATTTTTGCAACAGAGCTAAAAGTTTTGCTTAAAGATTTGCTATGCAGCTCCTGAAGGGCATCACAGTCACAAGCTGGATCTTAACCAAGCAAATTAAATTAGTCCTAATAGAGTAATATTTAGAAACACTTGAAACTTTCAGAAATGTAGACACTTCTCCTTTAGCAACAGATGCCAGTTAAAAGTGCCTCTGAGTTCATCTTAATTCATTAAGCATCTAATTGACAAGGTTGCTTAACTGTCTAAAAATTTTCCTTTCTGCGCGTGAGTTAATGGACAAATTGAAACTAATAGCTTGATCTAAGAGCTTGCAAATTTTATTAAATTCCAAAGACAGAGAAGGTGGTTAATTTTATTTGACTTACTTCCAGCACCTGCTTGTCAAGTGCAGCATGGCTATCTTAATGTATCAGGTTATTTTTCTCAAATACAATATAGTACTTTTCAGTCAGCTTAAATAGATATGGGAAAGATAATGATATCACAATTTGAATCCCTAATGCGTGCATTTATGTTTAGTTTAAGCAGACAGACTTGGTATGGATGTATATGCTGTTGTGTCTAAAACTGCATCAATATAAACAATTAAATATTTAAAATGGTTGCCCACACTAGCTTCACTAAAAGTCGAAGTCCTGTTGCATTAGACACTGTAAAGAGAAAAATGATCTTTAATTTGCATTATAATTTTGACTTAGTTTTGCTTATGGGTATATCAATCCTGGCTGCAGTTGTTGATAAAGCATATGCATGCATCATACAGAAATCAGTTCAAGTAAGAGAGCACTTAACATCAGAGCTAAACTAGCTGCTTTCTTTGTTACGCACTGCAAAATTGAACAATGTGCATTGCCATGTTGAATCTGCTTCTAGCCCAAAAATCCAGAAATGGATTTTTCTTCCTTTTCCTTACTAGCAATATACAAACAAAAAAGTAATGTTTTAATACATAAATTTTGCCTAGATCTTACTGGTTTTCTGATGTCTACAGAAAAGCCTGTATCTTTAGTCTGTTTTGTAGATCTAAAAATTTGTGTAGCTTTTAACTTATAAACTTTACACTGCGAAGTTTATACAAATAAATTATGCATCTTTTCCTATTGAACTAAGCTGGACTACTATATGCACCAACATAAACATAGCTATCAATGCACAATTTCTAGCTTTTACAGTTACTTCATTTATCTCTTTTAAAAATCTGTTAATATTTGTTCCACATACCCACAATATTCTACAAAATTAGTTTTTACTGGAATCAGCTTTTACTACTCCCTTTCTTTAAGCGTCATTTTTATGCCAAAATTAAACTTTTTTCCTTTGTGTTTTCTTGTATATGAAATGCAAGACAAAAGTAACTTTATGATGGAAAAGGAACTACTGTAAGATTTAAAAATCCTAATTATATTCCTCTACACAATAAACATCCTTCATATGTGCAAAATAGCACTGATGCCTATGATTCCCTTGAGGATGCATTTTACCCCATCAAGAAATGAACTGTCTTAAGTATAACAACAACAACAAAAAAGATATCAGAAAAACTGCATGAACTATGTTCATTTCAGAAACTGAACAATCTCAGAAAGTAAATTATAGCTACCTTTTAGAGTATATAGATAATTTATAACATGGTCCTACAACCACTCATCTATTTTTGAAAAGCCATTGTTTGAATCCAGATGTACTGGGTTTTTGCAGAGCCATATACATCACGTTGGGGAGACAACGTGATTTGTGACTGAAGTGATACATTTAAAACACTGCATTTGGGTTACTACATTTCATGAAGCAACAAGTTTATAAGATTCTGTTTAAAATACAGATATCACAGAATAAACTCAAAGGTCCAGACAATTTTTCTTTCAGTTGAGGAGGCATTAAGTTTTAGATATAAAGGAAAAGTCTAAAAGGAAGTCAAAGTATTGATGCAACAAGATGTTCCTTATGAATTTCTCATTAGCAAGAGTTGAGTGTAACTTGCAGCTTTTCAGTGGGCAAGCATCTTAGGTTTACATGGACTTTCATAGAAGATGGAAATCTTAAAATGCATTTCCAGGTTCTACCTTAAACTAAGGATTATTTTAATCAAAGCTTTCTAAAGTAGAGTTCTTTTCCTCAAAACTTTCTGAAGTAAAGGTTTAAGTCTTTGTTATTATTGTTTCCTGCCATCCCTTTACGATGTTCCCTTCCTCTCTTCCCATCAGAATCTAGTTAAGAGTGACCAAACACACAATTACACTGAAATGACGTAAGCGAGCAGTTCTGAAGCTTTTTGCTTCAAGGAGCAGTCTGAAGAGAATCCCCTCACCATTACAATAATGTGTGATTATCCCATCACGCTGCTTTAATATATGAAGAAATTCTAATGGATTTTAACTATAAGGGTCATTTGCATTTACACGTTCACCACACCTATTTTTGTCTCGACAGGGAGGGTCACACCATCAACTCATAACAGAATATAACTATGTCTTTTACCTAAACATTTATAGACCTAGAAGATACTGTATTATGTTATTTATATCTGTTGTATTTGTGCTACTACACTTATACCTGTAAAAGTTAAATTGGGCTCCCAGGCGTTTGGGTTCATCGGACAATATTTCTTAATACAATTTTCTGGAGCATCAGTTTTGCACACAAAACAAGAAACACTAATAAGCTGGTGACATCTGCAACTAGGAGCTGAATTTTTCATTTTCAATTCAGTTTTTAGAGGAATCATTATATCTTTTACTCTTGCTATGTTCTGTGAYGTTAATTTCTCAATAAATATGGATATGCTTCTGATTGTTTTTAATTGTGCTACTGAAATAACAGGAAGATAAACAGTCCTTTGAATTCCACTTATACTCAGTCAATCCARGTCTGGATTCTGTAGGACAATGCCAGCAAAACATACACAGTACGCAGACTTTTTATCTATACTCTGACCATTGCTGCAGACAGAAATACAAAGACAGATCATCTTCACTATACATAGAAGCTATTTTCACCTCTTTGAATTAGCAGAATTCCAGAATCTCATAATAAAATTAATAATTACTACTGAACTTTCAGCTTTTCTTAAAGAAATCATATACTGTAGTAATAAAAATTCAATGGGTTCCTGAYTGAATTAAAAGGAAGAATACAAGGAACAGCTCAGTGTGCTAGAAATAAAATCTGCCATGGGAAATGACCAAAGAACAGAAATTCTAAAAAAAGAGCTCTGAATTCTTTATATGCATTTACAAAATTTAACACAATACTTCATCTCTTTATTTGTCTTTTTAAGTAAAGTCCATTAACCTTATATTTTCATCAGATTATTCATCATTTTAATTCTAGTTCAATACATTTGCGGAAAAGAACATCAAGGTCACTGCGAACTGAAAAACATTAAGTGAGCAAATGAACTATCTTTCACTTGGTGAAAAAATGGGAGTAATTTATCCTCTCAAAAGCTCTTCTGTATTAAGATGTCTTCTAAAGATATTTAAATTTCTTTGGGTCACCATTCATAGCAAAATATGTAGGATAAAATATATGTCTTTCCAGGATATTTCTAATTGTGTTCGAGAATGAAGTGAAAAAAGGAAAAAATAATTTTATACCAGTCCTTTTATTTTACTCTTAWTGCAACAATCAGATATGACTAATACAGAAAAAAGAAAGTCTGAATTATATGTTTCYCCTAGATCCTAAAGAGTTGCTTTTGTTTTTCCCTCCACTTCAAGTAGCTTTGGAATCATCAATTCAAACAAATAAATCATGTTTGATATATGATAAATGGGGAGGGATGAGCTAATTCTAGTATCTGTTTGATACTAGCACAGACCTTTGTAGGACAGAAAATTACCTTAACTGATTTAAGGAAAGATGGACAAGCTTTACAAATTTATTTAATTCACTATAATATTTGATTAAATGTGCAGATATAGCATATTTAACTAAAAATGGTTCTTCAAATTAGGGTCAGATATTCTGTTCAAATTGTTAGATGAGCTATTAAACTTTATGCTAACTGAAGTTCCCCCGAAATACAAATACGCTCTTTTAAATACTATTGTATTATGATGTTTTAAAGTATTTTCAGTAGGAATTTTAAAATTCAAGAACTTCTGGTGTAGTTTCTCCTAAAGACAATCAAGGCTCCTAAAGAAAAGCAAAATATATCTTTATATGCTTAAATAATAACTCTTTGTTGAGTAACTTATTAATGTTCATTAGAATGTGCTTTTAACATAAATAGAGCAACACAGAGTAACAGCACTGTAGTTTTCTCTACTGATCTTTCCGTATATTTCAGTTTTATGCCAAGAGAGATTTTGAGGTTCATTCAGATAACAACTTTATGCACTATAATAAATAATAGATAACTGGGTTCCACCAGATAATTCAGAATCCCTAAGAAAATGACCTAATAAGACTGCTAAATGCTGAATGAAACAGTTTCTAGAAGGTTTCAATGTCTGCATCAGGGAATTCAATAGTTCTGAATTGTATCCACAGTTAACTGAAAGCAATTAGTAGTAATAATGATGATGATGAATACAATAACATCAAATGAAGCACTGGGTATAYAGAGCTTCACTGATTTGGAGCTTAGAGCAGCAAACTCAGTGTAGTGTATCAGCTACAGTAGTTCGCCTTGACTCAAAAGAGATTTCTCTACAGAATTCTGAAATTAACCGGGCTGTAGGAATGAAGAAATACTGTTCATTTTTTGAAAATACATTGCTACTTGAATAATATATTACAGGGTGAAGACACTTGGTTAGGAAGTTAAAAAAAAGT